CTCAGAGGAACGACTGGTTCCGCAAGCCCCTGTAGCTAATGGCCACCAGCTCCACCAATCCCATATGCTTGGGTATCGCCGAGAGTGGGCCAGCACTGTTTGTTTTGGTGTTGGCTATGTCGCGACCCAACCTGCACGGCAGTTTCGGCGGTGGGCAAACCTCGTTTTAGTAAACCTCCCCTGAATGAAAACGGCCTAAGACCGAAACCGACGGACGTGGACCCGCAAACATGACGGCCGCGACGCCCTGTCGCGAACAGAAAACGGCCAATTCACAGGGATTCCTGAAGTGATGTGCAGGCATGGCAGAGCCAGGAGTGAATAAAAACCATACCCCCCGCATCTCCACCTCTCCCAGCCTCTTCCTCCTCCCTCGTTTTGGGGGGGGCATCAAGATACCGATTGCGTTATTTCCTGAGCCTCTCATGGGGCGGGCTCTGACCAGCATCTCAGGGCAGATGTTGCCGCGGCGACGAGCGACCAACCCCAGCTTCGGTACCTCTTCAACCTCCTCCGCCTCCCCCCGCTGCCCTGAGATCCGACGCCCACAACAAGAATGCAACATCGCGAGAAATCACAATGGGAACCCGATATCAAGCCTTTTCTGTAGCGTTGCTCGAGCCTGGATCGATCCGTGAACCCCTTGGGGCTCGAAACCGTGGAAAGAACGCGTTTTATGGGCGTTTGCCTGGGGAACATTCGACGCGGCGCGTTTCAAACTGGGGGGTGGGTCCCCCCCAACACTCGGCGCCGTCGATCAAAACCAGGGGGACTCCCCTCCCCCCCAAACCCCCTCCCGAACCCTCCCCCCCACCCCCTCCCTCGGCGCCGGCGCCGGCGCTGGCGGCCGCCAGCAGCGCCCACGGCGGGGACGCAGCGACGATGACCAGGGTGACCAGAGGCAGCTCAAGGGGGGGGGGTTCAACCCCCCTCCCTTGGCGCCGACAGGGGGGGTTCCAACACACGCCCCCACCCCTCGCACCGGCGCCTGCGCATGCGCCGGCCAGCAGCGCCGGCGCATGCGCCGGCGACGGCGGGAACTCAGCGACGATTACCACAACTACAACCACCACCACTACCACCACCACCACCACCGCCTCAACCCACCACCACCACCAACAGCACCACACAACCACCACCACCACCACAGCCACCACCACCACCACCACAACCACCACTACAACTCACCATCACCACCACCACCACCAAAACCCACCACTACCACCACCACCACCACCACCACAAGCTACCACACCACCACTACCACCGCCACAACCCACCACCAGCAGCACAACCCACCGCCACCACCACAAACCACCCTACCACCACCACCGCCACCACCGCCAGCACCGCCACCACAACCACCACCACCACCTCCACCACAACACACATCCACAAACCACCGCCACCACCACAACCCACCACCACAAACCACAAACCGCCACCACACCACCTCCACCACTACAACCACCACAGCCCACCACCAGCAGCAGCACCACCACGACCACAAACCACCACCACACCACCACCAAACCTCCCTAATCTACCACGGACCACCACCAGAAATCACCACCACACCACCACCAAACCACCACCACACCACCACCACCACAAAAACCCGCCACCACTACCACCACAACCACAACTTATCACACCACCACCACGACCGCCACAACCACTTCCAGCAGCACAACCCACCACACCACCTCCACCACCACCACCACAAACCACCACACCACCACCAGCGCCACCACCACCACCACCAACACCACCTCCACAAACCACCGCCACAACCACAACCCACCACCGCCGCCGCATACCACCACCACACTACCACCAAACGACCACCATCACCACCACAACCCACAACCACCACCACAAACCACCACCACACCACCACCAAACCACCACCACCACCACCACCCACCGCCACAACCACCACCACCACAACAAACCACCACACCACCACCACCACAACCCCCACCACCGCTACCACCAGCACCACCACCACCACAACCCACCACCACCACCACCGTCGTCCTCGTCGACGCTCCCCTCCACCGCCGCCCGCCGCCGCAGGCGCCGGCCGGCGCCGGCCCAGAAATGGAAATCGTCGTCCCCGCCGCCGTCGCCAGCCGCCGCCGACCCGAGGAGAGGGGAGAGGGGGAGGGGGGGGGTCAAGCTAGGTGCGCTCGCGTCATATCTGACGTCCTACCCCTCCCTCCCATCCCTTACCATGGCGCTGATTTTCTCTATCCGCGGACGCGTGTCGTAGCGGACCTGTGGCTCCGCGCGCGCGTGCGTAGTGGGTGGTGGTGCACGTGCGTGCGTGCGTGCGTGTGTGCGTGGTTGTCGTGTGGTGGTGGTGGTGGTGGTGGTGGTGGTGGTGGTGGTGGTGGTGGTGGTGGTGTGGTGGTGGTGGTGTGGTGGTGGTGCTGTGCTGGTGGTGGTTGTGGTGGTGGTGGTGGTGGTGGTGGTGGTGGTGAGGTGGTGCGGCGCGGTGGTGGCGGGCGGATGGGCGCGCGAGAAAGAGGCCCGCGCTGGGGCGAGAACGCCATCCTGAACGACGGAGGCCAAACACCGATCCGAAAATGAGGCCCACGCTGCAGCGGGAGCACGATTCGGAACGATTCGGGAGCAGAAATGAGGCCGGCGCCTCAGCGAGAGCAGCATTTTGGAAAAAAACGCAAGCGAAAACCCGTTTCCCGGGAATCCTGTGTAAAAAAAACCATACGCGGGGGGGGGGTCGGATATCTTCGGGACGCTATCAGGGGAAGTGGGAGAGTATTTTCATATTGTGTAATTGTTGAACCCCCTCCCCGTCACGGGAGGGGTGGTGGTGGAGGGGTTTGAACCCCCCCCCTCCGTCACGGGAGGGGGGGGGGGTTCGAACACCCCCCCCCTTCCACAGAGGGTGGGTCCGGTTCCAACCCCCCCCCTGCAAGCGACCACAGAACGCGCTCTTTCAAACCGTGCGAACTCGGCATGTGAAACAATTGGGCGCCAGATCTCGGGGTCCGACCACTCCGCCCCCTTCCCAGTCCCTCTCTCCTGCCTCCGCGACCCCGCCCACCCCTTGGGAGGCAAAAAAAGCTCCTAGGGAGGACGCCAGCTGCACACCTGCGACGACTCCTGGCCAAGCCCATCCTGGCACACGATCGCTGCATACGCCCTCCTGGCTGGGGCAGGAAGGCGTAATCGACACCGCCCCTGGGAGTTAGAAGAAGAAAAAACGCCATGAACATAAACTTTTGGCGCTCCTCGCGGATTTCTTGGATCCGCGCTGGAACCCCCTCCCTGGCGCGCGGAGCGCGCCAGGGGCGGCGCCGGAGGCACCGTGGGTGGGCCCCAGCGCAGATCCAGGAAATCCGCGCGGAGCGCCAAAACGTTATGGCGAATTTTCTTCGAACATACGCCCTCCTGGCTCGGGCAGGACGGCACATGCACCACCCGGAACGCCGGGGCGCCGTGATTGACACCATCCCTAGGACTGGAGCTTCCTCCTCGGTCGTCTTCTGAGGGTGCTGGGGCCCAGGGTGAGGGCCACGGAGGGTCGAAAATTGCCCCCAAACCTTCCGCCAGGACTTCTTCGCCAAGGAGGTGGGGGTTCTCTCGGGCCCAGGATCGGCCTGGCCTTCTAGGTCGGGCGTGTCCTCCTACGGGCGGATTTCGAAGAGAATTAGGAATAGCAAAACGCATCCCAAAAACATCGAAACAGAGCCGAGAATCTCGTCCCCAGACTATGATTGGACTATTCCTGAACCTTCCTCCTGTAGAAGGACACGCCCGACTGAAGCCTGGCCAGGGCCAGTGCAGGTGTGTATAGCGCCCTCCGGCTCCCGACCCGCGCCGCCAAGCCCCCGCCGCTCCGGGCCCCCGGACGCTGCCCCGTGGCTTTCGGATTCTACAGTCGGCCCGTTTCATAAGGATGCGCGGTAAGGACGCAAGGGCCTCGGAAAGCCATATCGGCGTTTTTCGAGCGAGGTTGGCCGGGCTGGGTGGACTATGGCTCGGCTCTCCTGGCGGCCGTTCGGGACGATCCGGGCGCCCTTGGGACCCTCGCGGCGAGGTGGAGAGCATCCCGAGGCGAAAGGAACCTCCCAGAAACAAAGAACATCAGAAAACCGCCAGAAATCGACCAGCTTTTCGACCAGCCTTTCCGAAAGTAGTCTTTTTTCACAGCGCCCCCGTACAGGGCAGCTTGTAATACATAGGATGTTTGAAAATATGTGATTTTAAAACATGGTTAATGTATGAATAAATTTATGCATGAACTCATCGTTGTTTGTTATACTACATCCCAACATGTTTAATACATGATCCGTACGCGGAGCATGTATAAAAAAACGGCACTGTCTAATTAGGATGCGCGGTAAGGACGCACGGGCATCGGAGGGCCATGTTCCCGTTTTTTGACCGAGGTTGGCCAGAGAAAATGTTACCACCTCGAACGTCGAGCCTCGAACCCCTTGAGCTCCAGGGGCTGGAGAACCACCAGGAACCGACGAGAATGCTTGCACACCTCTAACGTCGAGCCTCGAACACCCTGAGCCTCCCCCTCATTCTTCTGGACCGTCCGCCTAAACCTTCCGCCCCTCTATCGACATGATCGATGTAAGTCCCTTGGAACTGCGTAAGGTTTGCATGCTTTCCGATGTATTATTCTGGATCTTCCGCAGAGGTCGGAAGGTATGGACGGTGGAGGCAAGAGAGCCCTGAATCAAATCGACTAGTCGGATCGGCGATCGAACTGAATCGGACCGGCGGAAATCGGCAGCCGAGTCGGGAGAAACCGGATCGGCGGAAACCGGCAGGCTAATAAGCCTCCATGCAGAAATCGAACCCAAATCGGAATTCGAAGTCGAATCGGATAAGAATCGAAAGCCATCGAAGTCGAATCGAATCAAATCGGAATAATCGAAACACGCCCTGTGGAGGTGGAGGGCACCTCGAAGGTCGAGCCTCGAACCCCCTGTGCCTATCCCCCCCCCCCCAAGCGCCTTGGGCGGCGGGGGCCTCGACTTCTTGGCTTTCTTGGGGCGCTCGCCGCTGCCGCTCCGCGCGGCCTCCGGCGATCGTGGCCGACCGCCGTCGGGTCGTCGTCGACAGGTCGTCGCCAATCGTCCACGGTCATCGGCGGTCGGCGTCGGTCGTCGTCGTTTGTCGTCGTCGGTGTCGTCTGCGACCGCTGTCGACGTCGACGTCGACGTCGACGTCAGATGCCGTCGCCGATCATCGTCGTCGTCTTCCATCGATCTGCGACATTCGTCGTCGTCGTCGTCGTCGTCGTGTTCGTCGTCGTCGTCGTGGTCGTCGTCGTCGTAGTGGTCGTCGTCGTTTTCGACGTCGTCGATGCCGCCATCGACGTCGATCGCCGACGTCGTCATCGATCGTGGCCATTGCTTGTCGTCGATCGACGTCGCCGTGAGTCGTCGTCGACCGATCGTCGTCGTCCTTCGATCGTTGTCGATCGGCATTTGTCCTCGTCATCAAACCAGACTCGAATTTATCCCTATCCCTAGGATCGGCAAGCCAAAAGCAATGAAGATCTTAAAAATGTGCCCTAGAAGCTGGGACAATCGTTATGATCGGCATGAATGTGCTGCCACATATAAGGATAGGGATATGTTTCAAACTGCTGATCATCGTCATCGTCGATCGTCGTTGATCATCGCCGCCGCCGATCGTCGCCATCGTCGTCGATCAAGGCGGCGAGAGCGAAGGCGGCCCTGACAACCTTTCGCCGCCGCCTGGGCCTCGTGGGGCGGGGGGGGTGTCGGCCTGGGGTTTTGCACGGGCCCGCTTGCTCCCAAACGTATCGCCAAAACGTGTATCAAGGACGGGTGGCAAGGACGCAAGACCCTTGGATGCCGAGGTTGGGAATTCTTGAGCGGCGGTACCCTAGATGAAGGCGCGTCTACCGCGATGTGCTGCAGGCATACCACTCCGGGGCACCCCAAGGGGGAGCCCAAGGGGAGGTCGACCTGGGATGTTTGTATGGATCCCGTTCGCGCCCAGACTTAGTGGGACCTCTCAAGTAGAACGCCTGTTTTGAGGGAGCCGCGTGACACTTCTCAGAGCCCCATGGTCATCGCGATGTAGCAGACATCTAATTGTTCGGCATCCCTGGCACCTAGCGGGGGTGCGACCTTGGGTGTTACGCGAGCCCGGTCGCATCCAAAGTGGTGGGACCGCGACCTCTCAGGTAGAACGCCTGTTTTCTGGGATCCGAATTTCTCTTAAAGAGACCCACGGTCACCGCGATGTAGCAGGCATGCCACTTGCCCCTCTCAAAGGGAGGTCGACCTGAGATGTTTGTACAGATCCTGCTCGCGCCCAGAATTCGTGGGACCTCTCAGGTGGACAGCCTGCGTTCGGGGAGACGCGCATCTCTCTTCAGAGCACGAAGAGGATCGCGGTGTAGCAAGCATGGCATCAAGCATGGCAATGGGGCCAAACAAATGGGTGAGTCTGGTCGCGTGTACATTGTCAGGACCTCTCATGTGGAATTGCCGGTTTGGCTAGACGCGTCTCTTTCCAGAGCCCAATGATCGTCCCGATGTAGCCGGCATTCCTTCAGGAACGTCCAGACGCTCTGAGACTCCGACCCAGTCACATGCAGGCCCGCTCATACACAGACGCGCTTTTTCCCAGCCGCGCGTGCTTACTCATGCTTACTCTCACGCAGGCAGAATGGCATACAGGCGCTCTTGCACGAGATCGCTCGCTCAGAGTCAACTATTCGTACTCAGACTCGTTCACACACACATATTCAATTATAATCACCCAAACGCTTCGCGCTAGATCATTGGCGCACAGACGGGGATCTGCGAACCGACTAATTTTTGAATACGGGGCCCCGCCTGGCTCACAAGATCTCAATCCTGATCAACTTTCCAATCCGACAATAACTCCTCCTGGATGACAAGCGAAGCGCCGGATTTGAATAAAAAACGTTAGAAATATGGGTCCATCGTCGCCTCCCGTCAAAAGCTCGCCCCCCCTCGCCCCTCGGACATGCCCAGGGGTGCGCTCTGGCAAGTTCGTCGAGGCGAACCCAGCAGGGGCGACGAGAACCTCCAGAAACGCTGAGGAAACATCCGAAGCGTCGACGTCGACCCCCCCCAGCGATCCTCGTCGTCTGCTTTTCGGGCCATAGCTCAGGTCTCTGGGCGCCTCTCGGCGAGGCGCCACTTTTGAAACGCGCCTTCCGAGGCAGGACAAACTCCAGGAGCCGACGCCGTCGTCCAAACACCTCCCTCGAGTCTATCGTTGCCCCTGACGTCGTCTTCGTCGGGCACGGCAGCATTCCCCCACCCCCATGCGAGGCGGGGACTTATCCATATCCACCTCCTGGGCACCGACGTCCTGGTGCTCCAGCGGGCGGTGGATATGGAAATCTGTTGGCCCCCGAGGGGCCGAATGTGTCCATATCCATCGCCTGTGGAGGTCCGCGAAGATCGATCCCCCAGGCGGTGGTTATAGATAAATCCCCGCCTCGGACCCCATGACCTGCTTCGCGCCACCGCCGTCGATGCCTGAGATCATCTGCCGCCGCCGCCACCGTTGGCGACCGTCTCCGTCGTCGTCGTCGGTCGCCAGTCGCCGCCAGCAATGTCGTCGTCGGCCGTAGGTCGGTCGCTCGTCGTCGTTTGGGTCGACGACGAGGGTGAACTGGCCCAGGTACGGAGAAGCATCGACCTTGAATCAACGATGCATCGTCGATGTATCGGCGATCGGCCGTGGGTGACGAAACCGCAAGGCTCCTGGGTGGGATGGGCTGTCGGGTTCTGTCGGCGATGAATGGGCGACTGGGGGTCAACGCATCCGCCCCTGAGGCAGCCTACTCCTTAAAATTGCTCCAAACTTTCGGGTCATAACTCTGCTCTCCGGCGGCCGCTCATCGGGACGATCGGGGTCCCCCCAGAGCGCTCTTGGCACGGCGCAGCTGTCAGAACGCACACCCGGGTAAGAACGCCGCCGAGAACAAACGAACACGTCCGAACACCTCAAACACGCTACCGTTAGAAGACCAAAACAAACAACGGCATAGACATAAACTTTCGACGGTCCGCGCAGAACTCTTGGATCCGCGCTGGGCTCCCTTCACTGGCGCGCGGAGCGCGCCAGGGGCGGCGCCGGGGTTATGGCGTTATATTCATGTTTATGACGTTTCTTCTTCTTCTTCTAGACAAGCGCGTTCCACTACTCCCAAAGTAACTACTCGCAAATGGCCTGGATCCACCATGTGAGGATTTGCGACATATATAATTATCCAAGTGCGACCCTACCTAGGAGTTGGAGCCCCTAGGAAAGCAGCATTAGTAGTATCAGAGAAGCTAAGCTAAAGCTAAGATAAAGCTAAGCTAAAGCTAAGCTAAATCTAAGCTAAAGCTATGCTAAAGCTAAGCTAAAGCTAAGTTAAAGCCAAGCTAAAGCTAAGCTAAAGCTAAGCTAAAGCTAAGCTAAAGCTAAGCTAAAGCTAAGATAAAGCTAAGCTAAAGCTAAGCTGAAGCTAAGCTAAACAAAAGCTAACGCTAAGCTAGAGCTAAGCTAAAGCTAAGCTAGAGCTAAGCTGAAGCTAAGCTGAAGCTAAGCTAAAGCTAAGCTGAAGCTAAGCTGAAGCTAAGCTAGAGCTAAGCTAAAGCTAAAGCTAAGCTCAAGCTAAGCTAATGCTAAGCTAAAGCTAAGCTAGAGCTAAGCTAAAGCTAAGCTGAAGCTAAGCTGAAGCTAAGCTAACGCTAAGCTAAAGCTAAAGCTAAGCTCAAGCTAAGCTGAAGCTAAGCTAGAGCTAAGCTAAAGCTAAGCTAGAGCTAAGCTGAAGCTAAGCTGAAGCTAAGCTGAAGCTAAGCTAGAGCTAAGCTAGAGCTAAGCTGAAGCTAAGCTGATGCTAAGCTAAAGCTAAGTTAAAGCTAAGCTGAAGCTAAGCTAAAGCTAAGCTAAAGCTAAGCTAAAGCTAAGCTAAAACTAAGCTAAAGCTAAGCTAAAGCTAAGCTAAAGCTAAGCTGAAGCTAAGCTAAGCTGGGTGACCCCAGGGGGCGCAACTGGGGGAACCGCGGGGCGGGGACTGGGGGAACCGCCCGGGGCGTGCAGCACTGCCCGGCCCCTTTAAGCTAGAAAGTAAGAACCCTTCTAGGCAGAGCCTGGGTAGGGAACAAATACATATATAACATTCATATACATATATACAGATATACACCATCGAGGCAGACATTCGTTTTTCGGACGTTTGCGAGTAGGCACTTTGTGAGTGGTGCAACGCGCTCGGTGATCCTTCGAACGAGCGCCGCCGAGAACCAGCGAACACGTCCGAACACCTCAAACCGCGATCGTCGCGCCTGACGTCGTCGTTCGTCGGCCCAGGGGCGGCCTTCCGCCGCCGCCGGGACCTGCTCCGCGACCTGCGCGAGGCATAGCGCGGGTCCAGGCGGCCGTAGCCGAGCGGCGGCGGGTGCCCGCAGTACGCCGGCCAGCCAGGCGGCGGGTGTCCCGGAGGACGGGCTGGGGGGGGCTTCGGCGTCTCGGTCGGCCCTCTCTTCCTCCTCTCGATCTCCCAGGTCACCAGGCCTCGCGCAGCACGCCCCCGCGATGCGCGACGCGAGGGTATCTTGGCGCCCTCGCGCCCCCGCGACGCCCCCCGCCCCCTGGAGGAAGGGCAGCCGCTCTGGCCCAGGCAGCGACGCGCGGCGGGCGATTCCCTGCGCGCCCCCCGCGGGTGACCTCTCGCTGCCCCGTCCGTTCCAGAGATCCGATGTGTGGATCTTATCCATACGGCGTCCCTTGGACGTCTCGATCCCTTCCCTGGGACCGACTTGGCGGTGCTGAGCGCCGGCGCCCAAGGGGTTCGCAAACAACTGGGGTCCGAGGGCGGGCTCGGCAACACGAGGACGAACCAGCAGGAGAAGTCATCACGTATCGCCTCAAGGAGTTTGCCAGCCCCCCGTGCTGCGAAACAAGTGTGGCGCCACGACACCTAAGGGCCCTCCCCTCTAGAGGGGCGAACAGCGGCAAAAACACATAATCTATTGTAGCTCCGCGCGGATTCCTCGGGTTGGCGCTGGATCCCCTCTATGGCGCGCACAGCGCGCCACGGGCGGCACCAGAGGCGCCGCCAGGCGACCCCAACGCCGACCCAAGAAACCCGCGCGGAGCTCAGAGTAGTCATAATTATGCCGTTGTGTTGTTCTTCGATTCTCTACCCCCGAACCCCCCCCGGGATAGTAGCCCACAGGGGGGGGGCCCGCCAGGTGCCCGTGCGGCCAGCCAGACGGTGAATGCCCGTAGTAGGCTGGGCGCGGCGCGCCTGGCGGCGGCGTCCCCGGCGGCAGCGGCGCGACCCGCGGCGCGCCGTGACCTGGCGGCCCGCCGTGGTGGGGCGGCCCGGGCGGCGGCGCGTTGGGCGGCGCCGCGCAGTGGCCAGACAATGCCAGCACGCCGTGGGGTGCGCCGTGCGGCGGGCCGTGCGGCGGGGCGTGCGGCGGTGGCGCGCCGAGCGGCGCCGGAGCCTGCTGCTGGGGATGGCCGCAAGCCTGCTGGTGGCCGCCAAGCGGCGGGTGGCCGCCGTAGGGCGGCGGCGCGGCCGCGCGGGCCGCCTGGTGGCCGCTGACGGGCGAGTGGCCGGCCGGCGCCGGGGCGGTGCCGCAGGGCGGCGCGGCGGCGGGGGGGCTCTGCTGCACGAAGTGCCCCGGGGGCGGCTCGAGGCCCTGCTGCGCTGCAGCGGCGGGCGCCGCGGCCGGGTGCGCGGGGTAGTAGGGCTGCAGCGCGGGCGCGCCGTGCTCGGGGCGCGGGCCCGACGCGGCCTTCTGGCTGCCGCCGGCGGAGATGGAGCGGGCGCTGCTGCTGCTGTAGCTGCGGTCGCTGGCGCCGCTGGACGACCTGAGGGCCTGCCGGGCCCCTGGCCGCGGCGCGCTCGCCAGGGCCAGCGTCGCGCTGGCCGCGGGCGCTGCGCCCGGCGACGCCTTCGCCACCGCGCCCGGGATCAAGGACTGCAGATTGCCCGGCGGCGGCCCGTCAGGGAAGGCCGGCGCCGCAGGCCCACAGCGCGCACCAGGGGCGTGCGGCCCCTCGCTGGGAGGGCGCTGCCCGTGGTGCTGGTGGGAGTGCGGGGCAGGCTGGTGCTGCAGGGGAGCCTGCTGCCGCTGCTGGGGCGGTGGGTGTGCCTGCGGCTGGTGGTCGAGAGGGCGCTGGCCGAGTTGCTGGTGGGCGTACTGGGCCGGCTGCTGCTGCAGGGGAGCCTGCTGCTGCTGAGACGGCGGATGTGCCTGCGGCGGGTGGTCCTGGAGGCACGGCGGCGCGAAGGGCCAGTCGCAACGGCGCGGCAAGACCACGACCGGAGGCCTGGACCCATCGTGGCGCCACAGGCCTGGAAGCCAGATCGGTGGCCGCGGCAAGTGCTGCCGCCGAGGGCAGCGGTGGTGGCTTGCGAAGAGAAGAGGAGCTCACGTACAAGAAGAGGAGGACCTTGCGCGATGGCTGACGCATCGGCCTTCAACGTGGAACAGGGGGCGGCGCTTCCGCGAGACTTGCCCAGGCCTCCGACGATTAGACGCATGGGCCTTCCACGTGGAGAAGAGGGCGGCGCTTACGCGAGACCTGCCCAGAGCTCATATGATGTGACTTACTGGAGTCGCCTGCCCTGGGAAACATCGGGTCTTTCCCCAAGACAAGCTGCTCGTCCGTCACTGCGTGAGGCACCCAAACCTGTAGACGGCCTCGCGCCGCAAAGTGGTTCTACGCGGGGAGCCCAATAGATGCATCTCATGTTCAGTCAATGCCATATGTGTTGACCTGGACGTGTGCAAATCTAAAACGAATAAGACAGAGTACGTGCAAGTCCGAGTGTGAATGCCCTTTTCTGTTTCTCTCTGCAGCCGTATGCTGCCTTCTCTCTGCCGCCGTCCCCCCGTTCGGGTGCCCAAGTGGAATACATGCTACATCGCGGTGAGATGGGGCTCTGAAAGAAGAGGCGTCTGAGGTGCAACAAGTAATGCCTCGTTCAAGGCATCCCGCACGGTCAACTGTCCTATCACCTGGCGGCTCTCCCTTGAGGTGCCAGTCTTGTCGCTGCTGTCTGCTGGTCTCTGGTGTCTGTGGAGGTTTGCGCCTGTTTCACACGAGACGTTCCCTCAATCTGGCCCCCCTTGGGGTGCACAAGATAACATCTGAAAGCACAGGAGTCGGGGGTATCCAAACTAGCGTTTCGCTTGTGACGTCCACGCTATCTGGGCACGCACGAGTAAGTGTCCTCCGTCCTGGCGGCTCCCCCATGGGGTGCCCAAGCGGCATGCGGTGTCACACCGGGGTGACCATGGGGCTGTGAAAGGAGCTGAGTCGGATGGGCATCACGAGCGCCTCGCTAGAGACACCCCTTCAACCTGGGCTCTGGTGGGCAAGTGTCCTACCACCTGGAAGCCCCCCCTTGGGATGCCCAAGTGGTATGCCTGCTACATCGCGGTGGTCATGGAGCTCTGAAAGGAGAGAGTCTGAGGGGCGAAACAAGCTCCCCGTTCAAGACATCAACACACCTGGCTGCGAACGGGCAAGTGTCCAATCCCCTTGGCAGCTCCCCCTTGGGGTGCCCGAGTGCTATGCCTGCTCAATCGCAGTGATCATGGGGCTACGAAGGGGGAACTGAAGTACAGTTTGGTCGCGAACGGGTAAGTGTCCTATCCGCTGGCGGCGGCCCCCTTGGGGTGACCGAGTGCTATGCCAGCTTAATCGCAGTGACCATGGGGCTATGAAAAGTGAAGGGTCCGAGGTGCAAGACGAGGGCAACGCTCGAGACATCGCTACCATCTGAGCGGGAACGGGCAAGTGTCCTTCCCCCTGGCGGCCCCAATCTGTGGTGACCACATGGTAAATATGCTACATCACATGAGGCTCTCAAAGGAGAGACGACGGAGGTGCAACACAAGCGCTTGGCTCGAGGAATCCCAACAGCGTGGGCATGAACGGGCAAGTTCCTACCCCATGTCGGCTCACCCCTGGGTGCTCAACTGCTATGCCTATTTCGTCGCGGTTATGATTGGGTTTCAGAACATGAGTAAGTCTTGGTATTAACGGGTATGATAAGTGATCGTTACTTATTCAATATTTTGCCGATCGGCGCGGGCCCTCGCACCCCCCCTCCCCCCCCATGGAGTAGATCTTGGCTGTTTCCGGGCGCCTGTTTCGAGCGGGTGGAGTCTCCCCCAGAGGCCGCACTGCTGCAAACAGTCGCACTAAGCTGAGGTCTGGAGCCAGACCCCACCCTCCCCCCCCTTGCCGCCCAATGTCGAAACGCCGAAGAAACAAAAACGCTCACTAATGGTAGGCTGGGTGCAAGTGAGTCTGAGTGTGAGTGAGTCTGAGTCTGACTGAATCTTGGCGTGTATGGTGTGAGTGCGAATGTTAGGTGTGTATGGGTTCGGTATAACCAAGCGGGAAATGATTGGATCTGCGCGTGAGTGGTCTGAATATTGCCGAATCCCCCCTGATCCTCACCGCCTTCTGCTGGCGCACCCGAGATGGCTACGGAGAAAACAGGGGCACAATGCCCAACCACAAATGTCGTCACAAACCAACAGAGGCCGCTATTTTGCAGGCCCCCTTGAGATTCACATGGAAAACCTACATGGCGACACCGACACATGGTCCGGTCTTCGTCAGCATTATTCCCGTACCCATGTCTACCCTCCAGAACCTTGGAGCGTGTTTTCAACTTACACCCGCCGAACAATTCTTTCAATGAAGATTATGGCAAAGTGATGTGCATAACACTTTCCTCATCGCCGCCTTTTCAAACTATGCTGTGCTGGAAAGACGGGCAACTGAGCCCCGACTTGCGCGAAGTCCATCCTTCCTTTTGGCCCTCGACACGCCCCCCCCTCCATGCAAGCAAACTTGCAAAATCTATACAAAACCGCATTCACCCTTAGCTTTCGGGTCCTCCGTTCGGGACGATCCGAGCACGCCCGGACGCCTCTCGGCGAGGCGCAGCTGCTGACACACACCCCGTGGCGGGAGAACCTTCAGGTACCAGCGACAACATCCGCCCCCCCCCCCGAAATCTGGACACCAGCCCCAGGACTGGCCTCCCATCCTGAGTATCGGCTGCGAGCAAGGGGGGAAATGAGAAGGAGAAAGCCTTCTCAGAAGGCGGCGGCTTAGAATACGTCTCTTAAGACTGGGGGACTTCTTAGAAGACCTCGCGCCTTCTGAGGTTTTCTGCGTCTTCGGGGCAAGCTTATAATACGTCTCTTAAGGCTGGGGGACTTCCGAGCCGTCTGAGAAGGCCCGCCCCTTCTCACTTCCCCCCGGGCTCGATGGCCCTGGGGCCCTGCGAGGGCCCACGGAGCAGAACATTGCCAAACATCTCCCGTCGTGATTCTTCTGTCACAGCGAGGATAGGTGGGAGCGTTCGCCCTCCCTAACAACGTTGCCCCCCCTGCACTGGACTAGTGGCCTCCCAGATTGGGCCCGAGTGCCGAGTACAGTCATGCATCGGCGATGCGGCGCGATCCTCCAGCCACATCTTCTCCGACCTCATCTGGGAAGCCTACACTGACACTGCCCCCCCATCACTGGATTAAAACAACCGTCCACCACCGAAAACGCGAGCGCCAAAACAAAACGCAAACTCCTTACGATTTCTTGTAGAAAGATTTCGGGAAGGGTCTCGCGGGGAACCAGGGCGAACGCAATCACCATACCCCAAAATATTCAGCCGCTTGTCGTATAACTTCGATGAATCCGGATCGGGGTCGCGTTTCCCCCAACTGCAGACATGCGATGTCATGTTTTTTCAATGCGGGGCCCTCGAAGTCCCGACCCGTTCCCCAGGACGGGTGCTTCATCCCGAGTCGTTCTCTGACGACCCTGGGGCCGCTAAGGCCCCCCAGAGGCCGCAGACGGCGAAAAGCCTCCCGCCCTGCTTTCTTCAGGGCCCGCGCATCTCTGGGTCTCGGGTGTGGCCAAAGAGGGGGGCGTCCAAGAGGGGTATGGCGCAAATCATGGCCCGCGGCATGTGCGCAGCCCAGGGGAGAGGGGGGGGCCAGGGACGCGTTGCAATAAGAAGAGGCGCCATGAAACCTGGGGAGATCTTATGGTCTCCGCCGTGATCTCCCCCTCCCCTTGGCCATCCCCCCCCCCCCTTGGCCGCCCCCGAGGGCCTTTGCTCCCCCGATCTGCTGAGGAGGGCGGCCGGCGGTCCTGCGGGCGCTCGTGCCGCCTCGCCGCACAGCCAGGGTCCTTCGAGGCAGGCTGCTCGTGCAGCGGAGGCCAGTCCACAAGACACCTTCCACAAGAGACCCAACCCTGAGACCCCAGGACGCCCCTTGACTTTTGGTGTGGGAGCGTCACGCTATCTATAGCAGATCTATCGACACTCAAGAAACCCAGGGCACCCTGGAGGCAAGCAGGGTGTTTCTTGGCATGGGTTTCCACTGCAATCAAGGGCCACGCCCCAGAAACCAGACCGAATACCCCGAATATGGTCGAAACAAGGTCTGCCCGACGCGCCGGCGAGGTGCCGAGCGAGCAACGCCTACCAGGGCCCGCCGCGGGAAGACTCTCCAATTTCGATACGTCCTTGGTGCTCGAAATTCTCTCGGGTGATCAAGGCTAAAGTCGACGGCGATCCTGGAGGGGAAATGAGAAGGCGTAGTCCCTCCTAGAAGGCTCGAAAGTCCCCCAGCCTTGTGGGAAGTGTTCTAAGCTTTCCCCGAAAACATAGAAAACCTCTCAGAAGGCGCGACGGCTTCTGAGAAGTCCCGCCGCCTTCTGAGAAGGCCTTCTCCTGGGGGCTCCCTGGGCGGCCATGGCGCCTCCCTGGGGCTCTCCAAGGCTTCCATGACGGCGCACGAGGCCCCAAAGACGGTCCAAGAGGGCCCCGAGTCTCCGAACGATCGCTCGAAGACGCCCAAGGCGGCCCCAAGATGGCGCAAGAGGCTTCCCAGGGCCTCCAAGAGGCCTCCCAAGAGGCCCCCCAAAAGCACAAATCATGGATGCTCCTGGCGTTTTTGAATGATTTTGGCGCTCTCGCCTTGCAGGCTTTCCGACGCTCCAGGACGGCCCAAGAAGCCTCCACGACCACCCCAAAACGGTCCAAGAATCCTTCAGCGTCCCAAGACGGCCCAAGAGACGCCCAAGACTGCGCAACAGGGCCCCAAGACTGCCCCGAAAGGGGCCCCAAAGAGGCACGAAACGAAAATCCGAGCCGTCCGCCCCCAGGGGCCCCCAGGAGGCCCCAAGAGGCGCCCAAGAGGCCCCCAACGGACCCCAAAACAGGGCCCAAGAGGCCTCAAAACTGCCTGCGAGAGCATCAAAAGGCCTGCAACAAAAAGACCCCGAGAGGCCTCTCACGATATCCGAACGATCGGCTTCTTACCCAAAACCAGGCACGGTGGGGGGACGGACCGAAGGCCATTAGATATAAACATCAGCATCTGCATAAACATAAACTTTCGGAGCTCAGCGAAGAATTCTTGTATCTGTGGTGGGCCTCCCTCCCTAGCGCGCTCCGCGCGCCAGTGGCGGCGCCAGAGGCGCCGCCAGGGAGCCCCAGCGCCGATCGAAGGAATACGCTCGGAGCCTCGTAAATGATGCTTATGCTGCCTTGCCTCGTCGAATATCATTATTCGCGATCCCAAGACGGTGCGGTGACGGGCAGTGCGGTGATCCCACACTCCCAGCAGACCTCACCGCGCGATGTTGGACCTTGGAAGCCCCAGTTGCCCGAGACGTCCTGGCAGAAAGACCCAGGTCGCAAAACCGTGCGGTGACCTAGAAGCTCAACTTTCTCGCCACACGGTGTACAGCCGACCCGTATCATAAGGACCCGCGATATAAGGATGCAATGGCCTCAAAAGGCAGTTTCGAAGCTTCTCAAACGGGGCGCGACCAACGAACGTGGCCAAGGCTGGACCGAGGAGGGGAGGATGCAAGGATACCCTTGGGAGCATTGCCCATCCTTACGATGCGAGTTGACTGTAGTCACCACGTCGTATGACCTCCCCCCGGCGTTGTCGTGGCTTCTTGAGGGAAACGAAGAATGGCATACACATAAAAACTCGAAGGTCCGCGCGGATTTCTCGGATCCGCGCTGGACCCCCTTCCCTGGCGAGCTCCGCGCGCCAGGGGCGGTGCCACCGCGCGGACCTCAGAGTTTTTATGTTTATGCCTTTTTTCGTTCCCCTAAAGAGCTTGCTCAATCCAGCCCCCTCCGTCCCCCTCTCCCTCTTCATCCTCCTCATCTTCCTCCAACCCCCCCTCCACCCATTCCGACAGCACGTGCCCAACCCCCCCAGCGGATCCAGCGATTACTGCCCCTTCCAGAGTATGCCCCCCCCCCACGGGCGTTGTCGTGGCTTCTTGCTCCTCAGAGAGAGGGGAGGGAGGCTTCCCCACCCCGCACGTCCCGGTGCCCAAAGACGGAGGCGGCGTCGAGCTGGGGCAGCGGCCCCTGCTTCGCGGCCGCCGCCGCGCCGTCCGCGCCCGCGCGGGGGGCCCTGCTGGAGGGGCGAAAGAAGAATATGAATAAGAAGAAACAGCATAACAATAAGAGTAATGTAATGCATACTAATAATACTAAGAAGGAGAACGATACAAATAATACTAAGACCAACATTCACAAGAAGAAGACGAATACTACGAATGGGGATAATAATAACAAGAAACACAATAATACTAATAATAAGAAGGAGGAGAAGAAGAAGTCGGCACCGCCTTCGACGGTCGCGGGGAGCATCGTTTCACCGATCCCTATCCCCACTGGCGTGGCCTCGGCCCCAGAGAACGACTACGGCAGGTTCGTGTCGTGCCGACCCCAGCGTTGGTTTTTGACACCGCAGGAATCGTTCAACCTTGAACGATCGGCCGTTGCCGAAACGTCGAATCGTTCCACGTCGAACGATTCTGGGTCGCCCGCGGCGTTCAACGTTGAACGCCGGCGGCGGGGTCGCCGCGGGTCGACACGACGCGAACCTACCGTAAACATCAGCCCAGGTGGCGATATATGCCTGCTCCTGCGGGTTTCGCGGAGCCTATCCCAACCTAGGAGGTTGGGCTGTTGGGGCTGAGATGCCATGGCCCAGTGGAGATGGGGATAGGATACTGACGCGAAGAGCAATGGGGGCTAGGAAACAGCTTCTGGGAGGTCTTCGAGACAACGATTGAGGGCTATCAGAAACCACTCAGCCTGATTACTGACCGTTTACGAGAAGTTTCGCGAACATCCTCATTAGCATGGATCTCCATCATCAGCGTCGTCATCAACATCATCAATTCCAGGATGCGGGAACTCATAACGGATGCGTCGAACATACTGTTTTGTTCACACGGATGGGCCGTCCCGGTGAACTGGAACATCTTCCTGCCCAGCCGGTGGACAAGCCAGACAATGCCGCCAGAATATATAAATTCGGGGCACTCTGGCCTTTTCCGGCGCACCAGAAAAAATCAAGCCCGCGCCGGAAAATCATCACCAAGAGCGTGCAATCCATTAACTTTTTACGGGGACTGCCCGCTCTGGTGCGTCGGAAGATAGGGCGGGATAGTCCATTTCGTCGCACTTTTACTCGGTGCGACGTCGGATACCCAACGGGCGATCGGTCGAGTAGGAGGTTGGGACATGGGAAACACGACACCGATTCCTCTTCGGGAGTGGATTTGCGATCGCGGCCCCGACGCTGGAATGTTGCAAGAGACGTCGCTGTCGTCGCAGCAGGGTCTGGTTACCATACTCGCGAAAACTTCCGTAGACGGCAGGCAAAATGAAGCGGGGGAGCACATCGAATTAAGTATTAAGTGTGATGAAGCTGGATTGAATAGGAATGTACAGGATGAGGCTGGTTTAGGCTGCGGAAGTACCAGCGCCGATGCTGAGTATTACCTCCCAGGAGTTGCATCCGAAGGGTTGGGTCCGCCTGTGCGAGGCGTGGATTTGTCCACGACCATCACCTGCCGAGGTCCCCGAAGATCGGTCCCCCAAACGGTGATGAAATGGATGTCCCCGCCTCGAGATCCCGGTGGTGTGGCCCTCCGGCTTTGCAGCGTCCCTCTCGAGGCGTCTCCTTTTCCCAGCTCGGAGGAAGCATCGCGGACCTCCTCGCCGGAGGTGGACGGCTGGTGGTGGTGCCGCTTCCCAATCCCTCCGGCCTGCGGGAAGAGTCGAGGAACTTCTCCAGCCTCCGGCAGGGTGGAAGAGCAACAAACACGTGCACACACACACACGAGCCTTCGGGGGTCCGCGTGGATGTCTTGGGCCGGCCCTGGACCCTCCTCGCGCCGCGGGGGCCGGGGCCAACTGAGAAGGACTCGATCCATACACCACGTCGCATGGCCAGCCACGGATATCGGTGCGTAGAAGCCCGAGCTCAGGAGCGAAGAAGGTGAACGTTTTCTTATTCGGAGTTTCGACATTGGGAAGAAGGGAGGGAGGGGAGGGGATCTATATAGTTCCAGACCTCTGCTTAATGCGACTGTTTGCAACAACGCGTCCATATGGGGGAGACCCCACCTGCTCGAAACGGGCGGCAAAAACAGCCAAGAGCTACTCCATGGGAGGGGGAGGGGGGGTGCGAGGGCCCGCGCCGATAGTGAAAACAATGAATCAGAAACCGACGACAGGAGACAGCCACAACCGTTGGGCTGAGGGAACCGCCCCTGGCGCCCCCCCGAAGCCGACACCGACGAACCAGCGGTGCTGACCTGCGCGCTGCGCCCGCCTTCGAGTGCTTGGCGCGCACTGGGGGGTCGGGGTGGGCACGATTCCCTCAGCCCAGCGGTTGTGGCCGTCTCTTGTATCGCCCATGCTAAGACTTTCGTTGAACCAAAAGGGGGACCAGTTGACAGTGGGCGGTGAATAGATTTGGGGGAGCTGTCTTGCAAGTGTATTGCCAGACCTCGGTGTTTCAACCCTTGCAAAAACGAATCAACCACTTGACCGACACTTGCGTCCGCAGTTGTTTCAGCAGCGAATAACGGCGGCACAAATGCCCCCGCGGGGCGGGGGGGGGAAGCCGAGGGGGGCGGGCGAGGCGAAGGAGGAGGAGAAGGGGGAGGAGGATGAGGATGCGGTGTGGCTGGCGGAGCAACGCCGCGAGAAAAGAGGAGGGGCGACGGCGATGCGGAAGATAAGGAAGAGGAGGGGGGAAGCGAGGGCGGAAGAGGAAGAGGAGGAAGGGGAGGACAAGGGGAAGGCGGGGCAGGAACAGACGGGGGAGGGGGGGGCGGCGAGGGGGGGGATGGGGGAGGAGGGGGACTTCGATTTGGTCCAGCATTTCTATCACTCCTTCTCCTCCCCGCCTTCTCTTCTCCTTATCCCGCCCCTCCTCCTCCTCCTCCTCTCCCGCCCTCGCTTCCCCCTCCTCTTCCTTATCTTCCGCATCGCCGCCGCCCCTCCCCTTTTCTCGCGGCGTTGCTCCGCCAGCCACACCGCATCCTCATCCTCCTCCCCCTTCTCCTCCTCCTTCGCCTCGCCCGCCCCCCTCGGCTTCCCCTCCCCCCCGCCCCGCGGGGGCATTTGTGCCGCCGTTATTCGCTGCTGAAACAACTGCGGACGCAAGTGTCGGTCAAGTGGTTGATTCGTTTTTGCAAGGGTTGAAACACCGAGGGAGGGGGAAGGGGAAGAATTTTGGGCCCCCGGGGCCGTCGAAAACGGATCTGGGATGAGAACGTGCCCGTGGGTCTCAGGCCCCCCGTTGAGCCCAGGATGGGCTCCAAGAGGGCCCCAGATAGCCCTAGATCGATCGAGGTTAGCCGTAGCGGGGTCCAGGTTGGGGGTCGTAGTGGCGCTCTGGGCCGGCTCGGATTTCGGAGTGCCTGGACCTTGGGCCCCTGGGGGGTCGGAAAGGGGTTTACGTGCGGCCCTTGGCCCCGATCGTCGCGAATCGATCCTCGATCCGAGGGTCGAGTCGGGGGTCGGGGGTATTCTCATCCTCCTGGACCTCCTTCTCCTCTTCCCCCTCCTCCTCCTGGTTGCTCTTTTGTCACGGTACGGCGCCGCGGCAGGGGAGGGGGAGGAGGAGATGCACTGTTGCATTGCCGGGGGCGATCGGAGCAGGAAGAGGGAGAAGCACGGGGGGGAAGGCGATCCCCATCGGCCCATCTGGGCCCATCCCCCCCCCCGCCTTTTCCCGCTCCTTCCTTGCCTCCGTCGCCCCGTGCGCCCCCCTTCCTCTCGCCCGCGTCCTCACCTCCGCACCCGTTCGCAATCACTCATTACAAATATCTCTCCGCTCTCCCCTGACTGACTGCGCCCCCTTCGCGTGCTGTTTTTTTTTTGCGCGCGGGGGCCCGCTCGTTCCGAATGGGATAAGTATCGCCCTAAAATGGCTCTAGACCGGGCGAACTGGATTCCAGTTCGCGCCAAAATGGCTCCGGATTCCGCCGAAATCGGGCGAACTGGATTCCAGTTCGCCGGTTTTGGGTAGCCACTCTCCGGTTTTGGGTAGCAGCTCTCAGAGGTCCGCGATGTCCACAGGACCTGGGGCCCCGCGTTGCCCAAGATCGCCCGCGGCAGGGCGACTTCGAGTGAATCGGGACCTCGATCCCATTTCGGCGGCCCTTCGGGGGGTCCACGAGGGCCTCGGGGCGCCCAGAATGGGCCCCGAAAGGGCCCCTAGTAGCCCAGGGTCGTTCGAAATAAGGCGAACGGGGACCCAGGTCGGCATGGTCGGGGCCCCCGCTGGGTCCTGGGCGGCATGCGCTCACGATGGGTGGATTCGGAAGGGCCCCCGAAATGGGCCCAAGATCCCATGAGAGAGGGCGGGCAAGCTGGGCACCCCGCTCGCTGTTTCTCAGGCTTGCGGGGTGTCGCGCCCAAAGCGGTGCCCAAAGCGGTGCCCCAGGGGCATCGAAGAGTCGACGTGGGGTTCAGCTGAGGCTCCGCGGACTCCAGTTCGCCGCTGCTCGGGCCCGGCAGGGCGCCCAGGGTAAGCCCCACGAGGCCCCACGAGGCCCCGAAATGAGCCCAAGATCGCCCGAGCCCTGACAAACTGGCGCCCCGTTCGCCGCGCTTCGACCCCCAAGGGCCCCTGTCGCCGACGAGTCCGAATGACCTCGCGCCGGGGGTGACATTTTATGCGCGGCTTTTGGGCCCTCGGGGGGGGGTCGTCGCCGCGGCTGGACGCGGCGTGCGCAGCAAAGGTCACTTGTGCTAGAAGGCCACTCTTACGTGGAGACGACCCTTCCCCTCCTCCTCCTCTTCCTCTTCCTCTTCCTCCTTCTCGTCCTGACTTCTCCCCCTCCTCCCTCCTCCTCCTCCCCCCCCTCTTCCTCCCTTCTCCTCCCTTCTCCCCTCCCTTTTCCTCCCCTCCTCCTTTTCCTCCCTTTTCCCTCCCCCCCTCTTCCTCCCCTTCCCCTCCCTTTTCCCCCTCCCCCCCCTCCCCCCCCTCCCCTTTCGTCCTCTTCCCCCCCCCCCGCGCGAGAGGCGGCGGGCCCAAGCCCCCCTCTGCTGCTGCGTCGCGGCAATGGCGGGGGGCGGCAGGCTGACGGACGTGCCGCAAAAAAAAAAGGACGGATGTTTTGAACTGTTTTCGGCCTCCGGGGGCCTTCGCCGGGCCCCGGGGCCGTCAAGCAACTTCCCAGGGTGGAAAACCACGGGCGCTCGCCGCCAGACGCCCGGAATCGGCCCATGTTGAACGAAGTGGGAGTCGGGAAGCCGCCGATATTTCAAGGTTGAACGATCCACGCGGTGTCAGAGACCAACGCTTGCGTCATCGCGACGCGAACCTGCCGTCTGGTTTGAAAAGTTGTTTGTGATTCGTGGGCCTCCCAGGGCGCGCCCTCGTCGCCGCGGATGGATCCGCCTCAAAATTCTTGACGCTTCGCGTGCCCCACGGTGAACCTCGAACGTCCCAACGAGACGCCTGCCAGACGCATAGCTAGGCTTCAGTCGGAGTTGGGCGCAGTCTTCTGCGCGCTGTGGACAGCGCACACGCAGCGAACTTGGCTCCCTGGATCCAGGGCGCCCAAATCCGACCCGAAATTGCACACGGCCACGTCCATCAATAAGTTTCTTGATGACTGGAAGGGCTGCGGGTATGACGCCTACCAGATGAACACGAGGCTGGGCTACGGCATTGACTGGGACAGGCTACGAGCCAACTACATGCGACACTCCCGCACCGACGACAGGGGCAGAGGCAGCTACCACCAGACCGGCTGGCGTGACCGCGCGACAAGCTCCTGGGACACCTGGGGAGGCTGGCAGGGCGAGCGGAGTGATGGATGGCGCGAAGATCGCTGGCAGATGGGCGGCAAACGCGGCGGAGGCCGCCCCGACGATCGGGACGATAGAGATGAAAAGAGGCTCCGATGGAGGGACTGAGCTCACTCCCTGCTCCCAGCGCCTTGCGCCACCACGACAACCTCACTGCACACTGTGTGCGGCCCTCCGCCGCTTTCTCTCGCTCCAACTGCGGGGCAGCCCGACTGCCCCCTCCCCTGGACGGCACTCCTCCTACCTTTGGAACATGGTGTGCCGCCCAGTAATACCATCTGCACTTTGCGTGACAGTGCGCAGCCTGCAGACCCTAGCTGGCCCCTGGCCCTGCTGCCCCAACTCTCACCTGTGGCCGCTGCATCCTTGCCGCAGGGCTCACGTTCTCCGCTCTGACTGCGTTTCACACCCTGGAATCCCTCTGGCGCAGCCTTGTGCCGCGCTGCGGGCCCCGCTCTACTGCGGCGTTTCGCCGCCCTCCCCCGACGCGCGCACCTCCTGCCTTTGGATTCAGGTGTGCTCTTCGGAAATACCGTCCACAGCCACTCCGGGTTGTGGACCCGTGGCCTCCGGCCTTACTGTAGGTCTTTCACCCGCCAGGCGCGACCTGGCCCGCGTCTGTGGACTCGGGCACCGCCCGTCCATGGACTCACGCCCTGGACTCCCCAACCATTTAACGACCTTCAGCCGTGACCCTGGATAGAAGTGACTCAGAGGGACGCGTTTTGGGTATACGACGGTCCCGCCCCTCGGGTGCTACCTGTCTTGTTCATGGGTGGCGCTGAGACACTTTGGATGTGCACCTTCGGCCCGCGTTCCTACCGTGGTGGCTTCGTGCACACTGCTGCGCCCTTATCTGTCGGATCAAGGGCCCGACGCATCTCAGTTGTGGAAGGTTTCTTTCTGGCTACTCTGATTCCACACCCTGGATGCGTGTACTGACGTCGCGATGCTCTGATCCGTCGTCAGGTCTTCCCGCTGGACTTTGTCGCCAGACAGTCTGTGCTACCTGTCAGACTCCCTGGATTGACGTCTTCGGGACCGTTCCTACTGGTTCGTCATGAACTGTTGGGAGCGTTTTGCGCGCCATTTTGGCTGCGCTCGGCTTCCTCGGTGCCTGTGTTCAGACTCCCTGGATGCGC